GATACATCCAACGTTGTACTGAGTATATCTGGCAGCAGGTTTGTGTGTGTGTGTGTGTGTGTGTGTGTGTGTGTGTGTGTGTGTGTGTGTGTGTGTTACCTGCTGGGGACCATTGTTGATCATTCTCCTGGTTCACAGCCTGGTGAGGACCCACTGTTCCTTTGGGGACAAAAGCCTGGTCCCACTTTGAAAGAAATACTGATGATTGATCAGAGTTGGGCTTTAGACATGACCTGGACCTCAGGACACCTTAAGACCTGGTCCCCTCTGTGGACATGTCAGAATTTAAAGCACGTGTTGGGACACTGACCCTGACCAGGTCCAGTCAGAGGACAAAGTGAAAACACCAGGCGGGTCAGAACATCTTTTATTCAACATTTAAATAGAAACTGAAGAGATGAACACAAAGCTGGACAGAGAAATCCTTAGAAAAGACTGAGTGAGTTTCAGGCACAACGCCTCCATCTGACAGAACAAAACTCCAACAGGACCCAGACTGGACCCGTGTCAGACCAGTTGGTACCTAAAGAACCCAGTCAACCTGCAGAGGTCCTGCAGAGAAAATGGCTGCCCTCCTCAGGAAGTGCTCCGACGCTCAGCTGCATCAGTGAAGAAGATGAAGTTCGCCCCCCAGAGTCCAGAGGCGGGTCAGAACCACCAGAGGACAGTCAGTGGTTCCTTCCTGTTTAACAATCAAGCAGCATCTGAGTCCTCATTTGAATTAAGCTCCGCCCCCTCTCATCTGGGACTGTGGATGGCCGACACCACAGGTGTCTGGGAGCCGCTGGGCTGGGACACTGGGGGCCACATGGGGGTCTGTGGAAGCTGGTGGTGGTAAGTGTGGTGCAGGTGGGGGCCCGTGGGCGAGGACGGGGGCAGCCAGACCGGCTGGGGGCCAGGCGGTGAGGAGGCCCAGAAGGAGGCGAGTGGGGGGGAGCAGGCCACRGAGGCCTGGGAGGAGCCCCCGCCAGCCCCGGGGCCACAGTCTGAAGCTCTTAGCTTGGAGAACATGGTGATGGCATCGGGGAAGTTGGGCGGCGTGGCTGGAGTGTTTCTGGGGGTGCACATCTGGGGGGAGGGAGAAAACAGTCAGAGCTTCGTCAAGTTTCTGCAGATGTTTATTGTTTAAGAAAGTTTAACGTTCAGCCCTCACATCATTCAGGCCTTCCTGAGACGACTCTCAGCTACTACCACAACAAACCTGTCCAACCCAGGCTTAGAGGCTGCCATCTTCAATCACATTAATCACCTTCACCCATTCACTAAAATTCATCCAGTAGTTTGTATAATTTAACTCCAGGAACTAGACCGCACCATCAAAAAGCAGCTGCTCAGTCACTAAAATTATTTATCTCTTTTTTGTTTCTCTGGGACCAAAAGTCCTGCAGCCAATCAAAACCTGAGTGACTCTATGAAGCTTTTATTCTATTGGTTTAAAAGAAGACATTTCCTGTTTTGTCTCCTTTGTTGGTAAACATTGTTCCTTCCTGTGTCGTTGTACAGCAGCTGAGTYGGTTATGGAACAATCAGTACTTTTCCTGGTACAGGTACGACCTGCACKGAGAACCAGTTCTGTGACATTTTACCTGCAGACGAAGCAACACTGATGTTTCTGAAAACTAAACAAAATCACTTTTCCTTTAAATGCATTTGAAATAAAGTACAACTTTCTTTAAAACAGTTTTCAGATATAGTTCTGCTAAAACGATGAAGTAGGACGTCAAAGGTCAATTAGACAGATTTATTTTGTCTGATGTAAATAAAGGTTTGTTGGAAAAATGTTCTGTTTAGTTCAATGTTATTATGAATACACAAAGTTTTTGCTCTATTTTTTCTCACAGATTTTTGGTCATCCAGCACAGAAAAAGCTGAATCTCGCAGCAAAATATTTGGTAGGAAAATACAGGTGCTGGTCATAAAAAGAGAATATCATAAAAACTTGGATTTATTTCTGTAATTTCAAAAAGTGAAACTTGTATATTATATTCATTCATTACACAAAGACTGATGTTTCAAATGTTTATTTCTTCTAATTTTGATGATAATAACTGACAACTGATGAAAACCCCAAATTCAGTATCTCAGAAAACTACAAAATGGTGAAAAAGTTGAATATTGAAGACACCTGGTACCACACTCTAATCAGCTAATTAACTCAAAACACCTGCAAAGGCCTTTAAATGGTCTTTCAG